TTAGGTTTAATTTATTTGACACGCGCGCTCGCGCGCGCGCGAATAATCAGGTGATCGACGATATCAGATTGGATCACGTGGGAGATAAGTACCGTCGGTCTCTCGGTGTCTCGTGCTCGGTTAAGATACTTTACGAAAGCAATTGTAACATTTGCTTGTGGATGTCTAATTGATAAACGCGACCAAATGATCGACGAAAACATTGTAAATGTGCTCAGTATCGTCTGTATATATTTGTGTGAGTTGTAATCTAAATACTTGGGAGAAATGAAATAAATGAATGCCTTTACTTCTGTGCAACGCAGACGTTCCTTCCGGTTCCTTCGTCTTGATTTCGTAACCGTGCCAGTAAGTACACTTGGGAGATGGCTTGATATCTAGCGAGACAGGAGCAAGTGGTGTTTTTCTAATTTACAGTTTTATAGTTTTCATTCGTTATATGTATCTGTATCGACGAATAGCAAATTAATGATCGAAAATATCAGAAATTAAGGAATTAACACTTTTTGAAATTTCAACTTAAAATTATTTTCCAAGCTTAGTCGTATATTCTAAATTGGTTTTTCGACTTTTCTAGTAACGATTACAAACTTAACTATAGGAAATATCCAAAATTCAATTCAGGAAGGATGATTACTTTTGACATATATCGGTAGAAATAGTGTTAAGCAATTAAGCCAACAGTAGTTAATCGAGAAAAAATAAAAATTGATCAATCAGCCGAATTCTCCAGCCTAAGCATCAAGTGATCTCCTAATAGTATTAAGCTGCAGATACTGTTTGAATTTATAAGTATCCTGGTATAAAAATTTCTTCAGTGTGAAATAACACTGTACATCTTCTGTGGTACAACACTACTCTAAACGCTTAATATAGCAGGAAGTTATGAATTACAACACGTATAAATGTATGAATCTTTATTTCTCTGCTTTAAAAAGGTAGACGTTTGAGTACCAAACGGCTTTTCCGCTAGACTGCCTAAAAGTGCTATCTTATTAAGTTTGTAGAATCTAATTAGATTTTTCCTTTTAATCGTTTATTTTTAGTTTCGTCATTACTTGCTTAGAAATGGAAAACGGAACGATCCTACTATTTAGAATTGTTTAATATAAAAATAGAAAAGCGTAATTCAGTTTCTGAGTTGATACGCTCAACAGTTTTCCACTGGGTTATTGCAAAAATCCGTGGCACTTAAACGATTAGAGTACAAAATACAACAATAATCTCAATGATAAACTACGCGTACAAAAATTATGGAAGTATAAAAAATCATTTATCTTAACATTCATAGTGTGAACAGTGTGAAGGCACTACATTTGATATGAATGAATGAAAGGCCGAGAGTAAATCATAGGTCAATTCATCAATAAGTTCAAATACCTTTGTAACAATTTTGATCAGGATATTGTATACAGTAGTATTAGCTTTGAAAATAGTACACGTGTCCAAACAGTTTTGCTTTAGGTTTGTCTTAGCATATTCCCACATAAACAAAATGGCCTTGTCCAGATATTGCACAGGATCTCCTTGAAACCGTGCCAAATGTACACTCATTTTGAAAACCATTCTCAAAATATTTTTAGCGTTATTCTCATTCATACATCTCATTTCTGTGAGCATGTCATGAAAATGATCAGTGTTTTGTGAGTTTTCATCCAAAACAGTTGACTGCTCAGAATAAAAATTTTTTAGCAATTCTGAGAATAAATTTTTCAATACAGACATTGTCTTCTCATTCTGTGATGAAAATTGATCTGATATGAGTGCAACTGCTCCAGTTGTTAGTAACTGCTGTGCCAGTAGAGTAGGGTCTACTAAGGTTATACCATTTATTTGGATCTTGCCATTTTGGAAGTTTAATTGAATATGTTTATTCAAGCTTCCTGTATTGAAAATATTTAAAATATGCATCTTATTAGTAATTATCTTAAGTCTCTGAATTATTCCATTGCTATTGCTGTCGTTTATATTATTGATTCTATTATACTCTGCTTGAAAGCGTTTAAAACGTAGTGAGTTATTAAATTTCTCGAAAACAGTTCCATTCGATGTTCTTATAAGCTCACCAGCTAATTTCATATTTACTATAGCATTACTAAAGAATAAAACATGTGAGCTGAACATAAGTATGTCTATAAAATCAACTTCCTTCTTTGTTTTATATTGGTCAATTAAATAATATCCTTGAAAGGCTATACCAATTCCATTAACTGTAAGATTACTTAATGTGACTGAGTCATGGGCTGCCTTAGCTGCTTTACTGATATTAGAGCCATTTGAAATAGCTTTTGATAAAAGTATAGTTCCACTATTTGCTGCAATAGTTAAACCTGAGGTACTTATTCCAATCCATGCAGACAAGGCACTCAAATTTGTAGGCTTTACAGATTGTTTATGGTTGCCAAGGTCTACTAATTTTGTTACACCTCGACCAAAATTCCATATTCCACTTACACCACAAGTTAACAAACCTGAAAATATAGAATTGTGTTATATAGATAGATAGTAAACTATTGATCACTTTTAAATGAGTTAAAAAATTCATACTTGTGGCAGTTAATACAGGTCCCACAGGAGTCAAAAGGGCTGCAGCCCCAATTCCAACAGTTGAAGCAATACCTAACACGTTAACGGTAGCATCAACAGCTTTAAGCGCAGTCTTTGAACTTTTACAGGCAGGTGACTTTAATGTTTCTAACCATACAGTTGAAGAATATTTTGTAACTTTAGAATGAAAGTTGCATTGATACTTCCCATTTTTTGGTACAACCATTAAACATTTTGGTAAAGTATTATTATTTAAATAATCTTCCCAACTTTTGTATACTCTAGCAGCAATATCAATATACCATATAGTATCTATATCCCTTTTTATTTTAAATATTGGTAACGCATATATCTCATTGGGCGTTGCAACAGTACCATTTTTAGATGCATTGTGACAGAAAGAAATATTATATATTACACCCAAATAAATAAAACTGGTACCATTATTATTTGTTTGTTTGCCATAATTAAGTACTTGCTTATGTATGGCATTAATAATTTTACATGATTTGTTATCATATGTGACTCTTGTTAACATTTCATTGTCATGTATAATATTGTTTTCTCTATTTTCATCAATATTAGGACCTAATAAAGCCAATCCAATTTGTTGTCTTATAAAATCATAGTCATTATCATTGTATAAAAACCAGTCAGGCAGAAGTTCATAAAAATTTTGTTGATGTTTTACTGCAATCATTTCCATCTGTATTAAAAGATACATAGGTGTAATTTCTAATATAGTATCATAATCCTTTTAAAAACAAGGATAATTAAATTACAACACACCTTCCTAAGGACTTCCATTGTTATGCATCAAATTCGAATTCGTATATCTATGAAGATTATATATTACTACAATAACTTTTAAATATATGACGAATTATTATTACAAGCAATAAAGTATAAAACTAAGTTGTTAACAATGCATAAGTACACTAAACATAAGTTAGGTGAAAACAAAACATTTATTTCAAGAAGATTATTCGTATACCATTTGGTTCTGTAAAAACAAATCAAACAGTAAACTGTTCTGAGTAGAAACAAACATAAGACAGAAATTGAAAAACTGATTAATCAGACAATGTAAGAATGGATATAAAATTAAATGAGCGAATGAAAACGTAGAATTTAAAAATATTTTATATAATCGGGCATAGTAAGTTCACTATTTAGTAAAAATAAAATTTACCCTTACGCCTGAAGTCCAAGTACATCGGTACCTCTACAAATAGGTCGTACAATACGACTAACTTGACATTCATGGTCTGCAGTATACGACGCAGGGATTCCTGAACATGATAGCCAACCATTGGTATATAATTACTTGGGTAAAACGAAATACCAACATAGGAGTAGGTTGTAGGTATGTAGGTACCATTTTGGGGTGTCGATCAACAATTCTCCTACTATTTCCAACCTAGGAGCTGCCTGGGACTATATACGCGAGTATACTCTAATTATATTAGAGTATTTGCAGTCAGCAAACATAGGTAGAAATAATAACAGATTCGTACCCGGATCGATGCTAGAGATCTTCGATAATTTCTTTAATTACAATCAATTAATTATTCAATCAAAATGTCAATGTTTCATTGTAGAACAATTCATAAGTACCAAGTTGTCGTGGGATAGTGCTATAAGAAATCGTTATTAAATTCTTAATGATGAATAAAAGCATATTAAACGTAATATCGGAAAATAATTGGAAGTCTATTTTGTATTAATTTTCCACATTACCCTTTAGTAGACTGAAATCTCATATGTTTGAGTAATGCCGGTTGCAACCTGTGAGAGGCGAATTCACGGGGATGTGACGGTCATTAAAACGATGGTGATTTCTAGGGGGCAAAATCCAACGTTTTCTCAATCCTGTAATGAGTAAGACGGGGACAAAGTACTGTGCGGCAAGGACAGAGAGAGAATTTCCAAAAACACCTATTTTGAAAATCTCATCATTAAAGTAAGGCAAGGACAAGACTAAAAATAGTGCCTTCTGGCAGCAGAGACACAGAACGAAAATTTTCAATCCCTATACGTCAGACCATAAGTCCATTGAAAAATCATTAATAACTCGTTTCTGCTTAACAATTTATGAACTTTTTAGTTTGGTCAATATACAATCGATATTGGCGAGATTTCCTATTATGTTTTTCTCTTGTGTTCTACTTTGCAATAAATTCCCTAGAACCTCCTTGAGAAACCCCCCGAACGTAGAGCAGGAAACAGTAACAGCAGGAACAGCAGGAATGGTGACACTGGAATTTTGTTTTTCCTATTCAGAATTCGGAACAGAGTTAAATGTTTTAGTTATATAATACATTTGAATGCTATAATTATTTATAATAAATATTTCATTAACAATAGAGAATAGTCATGTCTAATCTACTGAAAAGCCGGCAAGATAATTTTCAAAAATCCTACTTCCTTATCCCTGATTGGTGGCGCCACATAGTGCGAGACTGATCAAATTACTAGCCAAATAGTACCAAATTGTCTCTGCCAAGTGGCGCCATCAGCCTAAGTATGTAGCTGATATGTCGGTAACGTCAATTTCTATTTATAAATAAAGTCAATTTTTACTTGTTATTAGAAATTATTTAACTTCATATTTTAAAATTCTTTTGTTAATATCAAGCAAGTTAGAAACAAGCCGTACTAGAAGTTGTACGATAAAAATATTTCATTATAATTTAGTGATTGTAAATAAATATATTGCATAAAGATACATGCCACAACTATTTCTGTATTTTTCACTGCCATAAATCTACTATATATATATCGAGTTAGGGGGTGAATAATGGAAATACAAAGCCTAGTGTAAGGGCAGAGTGCAGAGGATAGGATGAGTCAGTAGGTACAGGAGACTACATGAGTAGGCGCTTGAATAGTGTAATCAGGATGTTTGTTGCCGGATGATTCTATGTGTTTATGGAGTGATGAGATGTTGCTGTTGTCGATGAGTTGGTCTTATAACCATAGAAAAGTTTTTAAACAATCATCGTTTAATCAAATGAATTATAATAATTCGATTTGGTTGAGGTCACCGATGACCCCCATGGCATCCAACATGTTAACACTTTGACTGCCACGTTGGTCACGGATGACCGGAGCTTTCAAATTACAAGAGAATAACTATGACTTAAAAGATATTTGATTTCGAATACAAATTTTCCGTAACGTAAATAACTAGATAATAGAGTAATATAAGAATTTTCATATCAAAGATTTAATAATCCTTGCTTTGTACCTTCGCTATAGAAAGGATAAGTGACACATAAAACATTGATGTTTTTCGTGGCAGTCAACTGTTGAAAAGGTACACAGGCAAGGGATGACATCCACTCGCTGCGCGCGCTCGGCCCGATTATACGGTGACTCAGCTTTTACACGTCCTTGTTATTGGTCGTTTGCTTTCTTCGTCCCGCGGTTTGACCAAAGACAAAGCCATGCCGAAACTGAGTCACCATAAATAATAAACGATCGCGGCGAGTGAAAGTCTCGCCTTGCCCTCCAAGCCGGATAGGCAACAGAGCGGGTTCTAGATGGGAAGAAGTGAACTGTAGGTTGATCGGATAGTTCTGTCATTAAATTCTACTTCTCCATGTATAACCTTATTTATTAGGTATATTCATACACTGCAGGTACAGTTTAAATTCAATTATATTTATAGGTTGTAGAAACATCTACAAAATACAAAACTATCACTATATTTATTTAAACTATTGAGATTGAAGCATGAACTATAAAAATAGGGTATAATACTAATGGAAAAATGATTTATTGTTAAGAATTTTATTAGTAAACATTCCTTATGATGTATCTTTTGAACTGAATCATTTTAATCTTGACGCATGATGCAGTAGGAAATAAAAATCCTTAATAATGATATTATTCAAGAAAATGTAGAATAGATTTATAATTAAAAGTATATTGCATGTACAGTGGAGCCTCAGTTATCCAAGTTCCGTTTAATCGAGTTCCGTATTGTCCGAAATAGTTTGAAAATGTCAAGTGGTGGTGGTCCAATTACTATTCAGAAAGCTCTACTGTATATTAAACAGCGAAAAAAGATACTGTATTACAATAATGGTCGCTGAATTAACAAATAATTCAGTTACGAAGATTGATATGATTTTCGAAAAAAAGGAACGACAGAACTTTCCCATCAATTTAATGGAAAAAATAAAAATAGTTAAAGATTTTTCAATTTAATTTATTAATCGATACTTGTCTATGTACAAGGCTGCACCTGCTAAACAATCCTCTTCCCTATAATACAAGACAGAGGTCCATCCATGAATACAACAGCGGTTCACCATCAAACACGCTACATACATTGCAATCAATTTTTTTAATCAAAACCGATTAAAAAAAAGAGGCAAAGTAGAAATAAAATCCCAGATTATTATTTACATAAGCAATTGATCAATCACTGTTCGATTAATTATTGATCAATTAATTTCATATTATATAAATATGAAGTTCGCTGAATCTAGTTTCATTAAAAAAAAATTTTTCATTACTAACTTTCACTTGAATAGATCTATTTTAAATTACGTGTCAGAAATAAGGTACGATTTAACCTTTCCAAAGCGGTTTTTTAGAATAAAATACATATAAATTATTTTCAAAACAGAATACAGAATCCCATTACTTTTTCGTAATGAGATTATGTTTCAATATATCTCAATATCAATAAAAAAAAATGAAATGAAAAGACGGGACTGAAGTTTGCGGTTCGCAAACATAATCTTGGACGTATAATCCTGTCAATTTCGAAACAGTTAATTGATAAGAATTTAATATAATGTTATTTACAAGAGATCATTAACTAAAAATAGTGTATTAGTAACATAACTAGTTACTTTAGTCGAGTGATCACTAATTAATCGATAATTAATTAATTATCTGTACTAACTGTAAGGTCTCTAAAACAAAGACCGACAGTAGTAACGCAATTAACTAACTAATCTGAATTATAATTGACCAATTTCCAATAAATTCCTAGTCCTAATGAAACACAAATGATTTAATTTAAAGCACCCTAAAATTTTTGTTTCTAGAAATTGTGCTCCGACATACAAAATCCGCTGCGACTTTTTCAATGTTTTTTGGTATTTGTTTAGAGAATATTTTTTCTTGCAATTTATCATTCAGTTAGAAATCAATTTGTATTTATGAAGGTTGTCTTTAAAGCGTAAGTCGCTTACCTGCTTTTACATGAAAGTGCATTAATAATTGTTGCATTTTTTCATAATTTCTGTTGTATCGTTGTAAGACTCTGGCGCGCATAAAATAAAACAATAAATAAATAATATTGTTTTACTGTTATATTACGAATGTTCGAATTTCCCGGCAAATGATTTTTTCAGTAATACAAAGTAATACAAACTAACAACTAAATTGAACACTTTCACTTAAAAGAATTTGTATTCTGCGGTAACACAAAATATCACTATTTTTCATAAAATTCAATTGAATAAATTGTAATATTTCATAATTAGATGACTGCAACGTTCTAAGTCATTTTTAAGTATTAATCGCTATATTGTGTTATTCTCTATACAATGTAAATTAATTTACATAATACATTTCTCTAACTTTCGCCGTTTTGAATATGTATAAACTAACAATTTCAAATTATTTCTTTGTACGTGCCTGAATTAATTTTTACTAATCAAAGAGCACTAAAAATAATCATGTACACTTTTTTTTGGTTTTTATTACTACGCAGCACTACGGAATATGTTTTATCCCTTTTTTAAAAAGATGAATCACTTATTTACAATAAATCATTTATAAAACGAAATAATTCATGTGAAATAGCTGCTTTTTGAAATTAAAATGAATAAAAGTTAGTTCATTTTTCCCAAATTGTAGATTCTCGGAGCGCTGAAAAATTGATTATTTAAATATAAAATTACATACATTACATATAATACTGTAATTTTTGGAAATATTTGCTAGTGTATTTCAAACTGAACTATTTTTTCCCCCAAAAAACAAAACCGCATTTTGTTTCGTATGTTAACACTTATACATAGCATAAAGATAATTAAGAGTTCATTTTTTTTAAACTGAAAGTAATATTGGAAATATGTTCTTGAAAAATATGATAAGGAATGTTTAAATTCTATTCAGCAGTACCAGTACGATTTAAATGTAACTACTTTATGACATGATTTTAAATGTTTAAATATTTCTAATAATAAGTAATGTACAAAGAAAATGTCACATCTGGCGATGAAAACTATTTCATTATACAATGAAAATATCAGACTTTCAAGTTGGTTACAAAATATTATATCTGAAAACATAATAAACACGTGCACAATATTTTGCATGCAAAGCAATCTTAAAAAGATATAAAATAAAAGCACATTTAATGAATTGAAAATGTTTGAAACATATTAAAGCATTGTGTTAAAATGGTAAAATGTCGTTTACTGAACATGTTGTTTAATATATATTGTATACAAAGTAATACAAAATTTATGCTTTGTATCAAACGTTCTGTATTATGCAATATATTATCATATTCTTGTTTACGTTAGAAATGTGAACATTTTTCATTCTATATTGAAAAATATTGTGAAACAACCTCGCAGAAAAAGCAAACAATCAATTTTCTCATCGCTCCGACAATCTTCTGTTTGATTCTTTTAAATTTTATCTAAGATCCCCATATTATTTTATTTAGCACGCAACGAAAAGTGGTTTCAAAGTAATCCACCTTTCCGTCCAAATAAAAGCGAACTAAGTGTTCCCAAAGCAGATTGCGCGGTTGATTCTTTTGTAACAGTGACGGGGACCGCAGGTGTAACCTGTCCAAGATCGGGCCTCGTGGCCCTAGCACCAGTTCTCCTTTGTCTATTTGTCTCCCTACCCGATGTGGACTCAGCTTGCTGTTTTTCAACGAGTTGTCGTTTCGTCGATGAGGAATCACTTACGGAGGAAGAAGGTGAAAGTTTTTCCTGACTTCCACTTGAGGATATGGAGTGTTTTAGGAAAGTTAACTGAGCCATAGGGCTGTCGGTAGCACGCCTGGTGTATAAAGTACCTTGAAGAGCTAGTGGAGAAATAGAAGAACCGATCGTTGTGGCCATTATAGTATCAATACCAATTCTTTCTAGCTTTTCTACTAGACGAATACCAGTAAGAGCCTTCTTTTCGGATCTTGAAAGTACTGTCCGCTTTCTTTTCACCTGTTGTAAAATAAAGTTATTACATTAAACTACAATACAGCTAGCAATGTTTATAAGAAAATTTATAATAAATATGAAAAACAGTAATATAGATAGTAATAGTAATAGTAAGTCTTTTCAGTTGAAATTTGTTAAACATTACTGAACAGTGAATATTTTCATTTACTTTTTTCGAAATACTAAGCGATAATAAAAAGATTTTATAAAACTGATATTCCAGTTAATGTACCTACATACAGTATAAGAAAAATAAGCGTGATTATTCTAATCTAATTTAACATAAATTTTGCCTGTTAAGAAAAATTTGTGTTCCATAGTATTTCTTCCTCTAAATCATTCAAATTATATTATAAATATTTCTCGTGTCATTGGTAACAAAGGAAATATACAGCTGCTTTTCTTTGCAGTGAAATATTGAAAGTATTAACATAAGAAATTTTTTTTATGTATAGTAAAATTGGAATCGCAATTTGTAAGTATTCGAAATAGTAGCAGTCTATTAAAAAATGATAAAATCATTAAAAAGCTCAGCACAAAATATTGTTATACATACCGCTGTTTCTCCACCAAACGTTCTCTTTAACAATTCTGCTCCACTAGATAACAATCCAAGCGAAATTCCACTTTCTGGAGTTGGTGAACTGGATCGACTTTCTGGTGGACTAGCATCAGGACTATTGCATGGTGTTGCAGTAGGTGTGTAATTTCTTTCTCCACTTGGAGTACCAACGCAGGAAGGTGTTACAGCTTTTATGCCTATTTTTTTTAAATAAATAATAATTGAATATTTTTTTTTTATAGATATATTCAAAATATTCTTGTTTTTTTCGAAACGACGAAAATAGAATTCTTGAAATAGACTTATATTACAATTTAATCAAGATCAAGAATTAAATACTGTTACTTTAAATTTATCAATTATTCAGAGAAAAAGGTGTTTTTATTTTTGAGCATACTTTCTTAAAATAATACATAAGTAGCAAAATAAATATTCCTACTAATATTGCATAGCACTATGTGTGTGACGTACGATATGTAATAAATACCTCTTTCATTCAGCATCTTGGCAAGCCCAAGGGTTGTTGAAAATGTCGAAGTTGAATTCCTTCTACTTAAAGTTCTTGGAGTACTCATTCCGGAATTTAAAGCACTACTAGGTGCAGTAGCAACCCTGCTACCCACAATACTTGGAGTTACGTTTGTATGATCATCTGGATGAAGAACAGTGCTATTAGTGTAAGTATACACGGAGCCTGTGTCTTGGAAGAGTTTTCCAGGGTTAGTATATTCTTCATCTTCTTCAAGATCGCTTAAAGTAAAAGTGACTAGGCCTAAGTCTTCCAGGCCACGGCCTCCACGAGTCATTACACCCGGTCTGTCTTCTAACAGACCACCTGAAAAATATAGTAACTATTTAAGTTTTTAAAGTTTAGAATTCGATATGGGAGTTGCTATTAAAAGTTTTATATAACACTATAGTGCAAATAGAAAGTCCCAAGATTTGAACTGAAGAATATTATGTAGCTTAAAAATTTAATAATAGGATCATTTAGTATATAATATTTACCTAAAGTTGGCGTGGCTAATTGAGTCCAATGATGTAACGTTTGTGAACCTTCAATAGGTTTTACTATTTGTAATTTTTCAGGAATCCTCCAAGCGTTTCCGCTATAACCACTTAAATTGCCAGTGCTTCCTGTGGACATAATGCTGTCTGGTGTTCTACAACCAAGAGGGACGAAGGCTGAGGGTGAATTTATTCCGGCGTCATAATCATAACTATATCCTGTACCCGTGCTAAGGCAAGCACGTCGTGCTATGACTTCAGCAGGTGTTAACCTGCGAAGAGCTGCCTCAAGATCCGCTGCTCCAGGAGCTCCGGGTATTCCCGCTTTTTGGGGACCCCTAAAAATTTACATGAATCACTTAATACATTTTTATTTAAATTAAAATGCCATACAAATATATTTAAACGTTTATGGTGTACATCTTTCATTACGAAAATTCAAACTATTAAAATTGATCTCCGCTGGATATCCGATATCCCGCGCGTAAGTATAATAAATAAATATAGTATCATTCATTAATTAGAATATATTACTGTAAGTGCAAATAGTCAACGCGTATGAAGTGCAAGAAAAGTCCAGTAACTTACGGATAATCTTCAGAATCTGTAATAAGGGAGCCTTCCGAATCGCTATGGCCAGCAGAATCTAAACTAGGGAACGTCGATGCCGTAGGTCGAATTTGTCCACAACTCATTCTGGGTCCACTGAAACCACTTGACAGAGTTGATGTAGTCATCGATCCTATTCTTGGGAACTGATTACCATCAACTCCATAAGAATTTCTTGAAGCACTTCTAACTGTTTCAAACACCTTCTTGTATGTAGGTCTGTGTAACAAATAAATGAATATTTCATTAAGATTACTTGATGAATAATAAACACTAATACCCTTTCATATTTACAATAGTTTCCTTTTAAATAAACAAGAATAAACTAATTTCCCATAATGAGTCATTGAATTTACAACTGTTAATTAGAGTACAGAGACTGTATTTCCTGATGCTAAAGTACAATTCAACACATACTCAAAACTGGTAACTTAACTCATTGATTTTTATAAAATTAGAGTTTTAAAATAGGAAGACTAATTAGCTAAATGGATTATTTGAACCAATTACTAGGGTTAGCTCATAAAAGTAATATTGCTGCCAGTGTATGATAGAAGATTAATCCTTTCTGATCAGAACTCTTCGAGAATGGGCTATCCAATTAGTCGTAGCGCTCAGTCGGTAGTAAATAAATATATTAATGAATAAATAAATATAAACCATAAATATGTTAAATAGTACGATAAGACAGTCAAAAGAAGAACCATTGTTTGATAAAACATTCGAACGTCCTCAACGGTAAAAGTAGCTTGCCGGGTCATACCCGAACTTCGACCGGAAAGGGTTAAAATTATATAAAGAATGTTTTTGTAACGCGAACAGTATACTACAAGGAGTTTAATATAAAATAACTTACACTCTGTCAGTGCTGATACCAGAATCTAAGCTGAATTCGGAATAAAGAGAGGATTCTAATTCCGAAGCAATGGAATCTGGTTGTGGTGCAGCTCCCATTGAGGGAAACAGAGATCCTCCTCTAACTGTTGGCATTCCTCTTTTTCGTTGCTTTCGCAGTTGCTCTTGAGTTTCTGCTAATAAATTCACCACCTTCAACAGGAAAATTAGAATGGATTTATTATATGAAACAAAATTTTAATTATTAATAGCATATTGCTTATTAATATGATTCGAACAACTTTCAACACTGTTAACTTGATAACTAACAGTTTACACAATAACATTTATTGATTCCACGGATACAGGACTTATTAATATTAAGTAAAGTAATTTATGTTTGTCGAAGATATTTCACAAATTACAGTATTTTATTAAACATTTGCAGATATTAATTTTATCAATCTTTATTTAATTTAAACTAATGTTACATACTTTATCTTAATACTACGGTTTTATAGTTAAACTATGTGTTAGAAATATGAAATTTCAGACGCTACATAATGTATCCAAAACAATTATAACAAGTATGTTAAGGAATATGGACTGGTTCCGATTCAATGACGTACCTCTGTATATCGATCCTTAAATTCGGCCAGTTCGCTCGCCAGGGTATTCTGGTTATCCCTTGTGATGAGCAAAGTGGCTCCCACCTCGTCATGCTCAGCCATCAACTGTGCTAATCTCAATTCCGTTTCTGCCAGTTTTGCCGTCAAACTGACAATTTGCTCATGTTGTAGTCGGTTCTCTTCTTTTTGCCTGTCAAGCTCCTCTGCAATCCCGTCCACTTCCATGTTTGCACTTGCTGCATTCAAAATATATTTTCAATAATATCCATCAACTTCAAAATAAAATATTTTATTCAATAATTTAAATAATAACTGAAGCAACATATTAACTAGTTTCCATTTTTCAGATATAGTAGACGCACATGTGAAATTACAAGAGACATGTAAAAGTTACATTTTTTATAAGAAAGTCATTACAGTACTTTTCTTTTTTATAATGTTTTACCGAGAAATCAGAAAAAATATAACTTATTCAGTTATCTTATATACTTAAACTACTACTGTTTACTATATTTAATTAGTACGTTGGGAAAAGCTATTTATACAGCGGTATACGTCCACTGTTAGCTTCATTGTAGCTGAAGTATTAATATTCAAAACATGTATACATAGCTACCAGATCCAAATTGACTCTACAATAAGAACATGCACTGCAGCACAATTGATTATTTTATTTGTAGCATGATGTTTGTCTCATAATATCTCAGGTAAACAATACAACATTGTACAACGTTTCCACAATTGTTTGGACTCTAGCAATCCAATGTCTACACCATGCGGATTTAGGGACTCTCTATCAATTCGAAAGAGATTAATCAACTAACCAAGTTGAGCGGCGATATCCTTGACAAGTTTTGCCTCTTGCTCCTCTGAATTATCAGTGTCGTGTACTAATTTCGCAAACTCAGTTCGCAGTTGTTTGTTCTCGTCTTCCAAATTACTGATCTTCTTCTGCATCACGTCAAGATTAATACCACGCAATCCGGTGGGCGTCCCGGCTTCAGAGCTCGTTTCTTCAACATCATTTGTCAAGATTTGGATGATCTCTGTCTTCTTCGTAAGCTCGTGCGTGAGTTGAGTGATCCGTTCGTTAGCTTCCTTTAAATCTGATTCTAAACTGGTAACCGTGGTTTCGAGTTTTTGGTTGTGCGATAACAATTCTTTTCCAATGCGTGCGGTGAGTTCTAAATCCTTCTCTTTCTGGAAAATGAAATGACACGATTCGAAATTAGAACTATGTACTTTAAATCAAGGATGCTTTATACAAGACATTAATAGAAGATGGTTGATAAACTTGTTCAGTCTGCTCAGTTTGACGAAATTTGACGACGCTAGTTGATCAAATGTCTTTTTATTTTATGGGGACTAGTAATGACTAGACAACGATAGTCAGTAAAATAATTTCTACACGTTTTATCTTTAGTTCATCCAGTACACTAATTCTCACAGCATTTCCTTAATTGAATCATTCTTGAATTAATCTTTGTTCGTTCAAGTCTGTACATTATTTTACAGTTTGAGTGATTACTTTCATTTAAGAATTGAAAATTCGAAACAAATTAAGAACTACTCCTTTTTTTAGACTGTTTAAAAAAGACTGTTTAAAAAATATTTAATGATGCTCAAATTTCCAACATGGCCACTATCTTTTTACATGGAAAGAGTGGTTTCATGTATTTATGCAAATAAATGTGGACTTCAATATAAACAATAATTCAGCTATTAAATTCATATGCGTAACTTTTCCCTTAAAACTCTTTTTTAAGTGCTTAGAGAGAAAAGTTAGAATTTGCGACAACAAATACATGGTTTATTCCGAATATAGAAATATTTATCATTTTTCTTTATTGTGATTTAGATTTCTGTGTGCAGATATAGTTTATGTCAGTCAGATTTCATTAGATACGTTACACGATTATTCAAATGAGAATTATATACCCTTAAACGATTCACCCCTTCTAAAATCATCTAGTATAAACGTCAATTATATATTAGTGATGTCATTTACCTCTTCTAGAAGCCTTGTGACTGCTTCTATGTCATTATACGTCTTGGTCATTTGGCTCACCCGGCTGCTACATAGAACTGAAAGAAAAAAATAAGTATCATTGCAGTAGATTATAACAATAATAGCATTTTGTAAAAAATCAAATAAACAAACAAATAAATAAATAAATAGATAGATAGATATATAATAACACACAAGCTGAAATTTTGTAAAAGTGAAGCGATAATAATAAACGACAAAGAAAAACAAAGGAAACTAACAGAAAATTAGTGTATAAATTTATATAAATTTGATACAATAACGTACTAACTTAAATCGTAATTATAGCTAAACATTCATTTTAACAGAACCAATAAGTATGTAATTCAATGGAGTATCGAATTTAGCAATGAACTTGCATTCCGACATACTTTACCAACTTTGGTTTATTGTTATTATCTTTCATACAGCTGCAGTCCAAACGTACACTGTACGCGTCATTATTCTTGACTTTTTAATCGTGTTGGTGGTCGGTGATAAACAAAATGCATTACTGATACATAGGAACTTATTTTATTCATTTATTTCTTTTAACGCATCGAACATTAAATCTATAAAATAAATTCTCCCAGTAATTATTAATTTCTTCAATTAGTTTCATCTTTATGGAAAATTTGGAATTAAGCGTCGTCACAAACATGTAACGCTGGTAAAATGATATTACTTAAAATAAAAATATACATTCTTTTAAATAATTTTTTCATATGTTTGAATGCAAATGTAACAGACTATAAAATTTATACTTGATTTTGTACAGTTTTCGAGATATCGCCTGTATAATTTCGTGGATAAAATAGAATGAAACTTGGCTGAATAAGCAGCACCGATAACGATTTATAATTATTAGGTTGTAGATTTTAAAACTTTGTAAATATAGGTATAAGTTCCATAACGACATAAAGTCCCGCAGTCTACATAGAATTTAGCATAAATTCTGCATTAACATGCTCAGGCCAATGCTATCGGTGTTATCGGAGAATCAGATGATCGTTGGAGGAATTTTTCAAATTATAATTGGTACTGAAATTATAAAAAGTAATCTTAATTGGTCAGTGAATCAAAGATAGTGTTATCTTCTTCGATATATCGTGATAACGGTCCTGTTTACTGATTTCCGAATCGATTAATTGATATTCATATATAAAATTTGTAAGTACATCTACATATATAAATGAAGTTTACCGTTTGTTTATAAATTTTAGACAAATTTAATATAATAACAGATCTCTATTTAACATAAATCGTCTTAATAATAAATATTTTAATTCTGTAATTTGTATTTATAATTTATACTCTTATATTTCAATTATTCTCATTGTATACGATTGCAAAGAGTTAAATATTAATAATTATATTTTATTCGTGTGGATATTTAGTTATTAAATATTTGCACGTTCAGTTTATCCTCGGAAAGTAACTTTAAACGATAGACAGTGTTTTAACAAACATTCGGCACACATTCTGTTGATTAACTTCACAAGAAATACGTACTCACGGTTCTAATCGATCACTTGATCCGTTGGAATCGATTATCATACCGCTTCATAGTCAAGTTACAGTATGCAATACCAGTGGCTGCGTATTTCAAGCGTTGCAGAACTTGTTTGAAATAAATTATTCTGTTTCATGGGTCAAGTTCAGAACGATAATTAATAATTCTATGAATAGAGCTGTCTATACACAACAAATTATGTACAGACAGTTTAATAAGCGAGATTTTTATTCAACTTTTCGATATAATTATTACGTATTAATGAATCAACGTAACATTCAACTAATCGTGATGTTAAAACCCTTAAATAGAATTGTGATTAATGATTATACACTACTGAAGCATTACACTGAAAAATTTTGTACGTTTCGTGAAAAAGTGAAAATAAACAATTTTCAATTAAATGTTTGCAGAGAATTGCGAGAAGTGATAAAGACAATTGCTTATTCTACTTTGAAGCGTGTATAAATACGATTAAAGTTGGCGTTGCGATTCGCAAAATTAACAGAAACAAAATAGTGAGGGAAGTAAGAGAGAAAATAGTAGATGCTTCTTAACGTTGCGGTTATTAAATTTTTAAATCGCAATGAAAGCATTGGGGAATATTGTATTAAGATTTTATTTGAATTTTACAACTATAATTAGGGAAGAATTGTATCTTTCAAGTTCGCACAATAATTTTGATAGTAGTTCACTTTTATTATATAAATGTTAAGGAAAATTAAAAAAGATTATTGTTTGTGGTACTATAACAGACATGTTGGTCTCTTTTTCTTCAACAATTTGAACTTGCAAGACACGGATCTTGACGCATAATTTTAAATGAAAATAGGTTCGTAGCACTACATTTACACTACATATTTAACTTTATGTTTTAAAAGGTTCCTATTTGGTAAACAGATATACGAAGGGTCCGCCTGAAAAATGGAATAAAACGTGTAGTACAAATGTAACGTTAATAACATGAACTTAATTGAATAGATATAGTGTATATCTTGACTGAAACTTAATAAATAAACGGTAATTCATGTTCATCACTGAAAATTATATTAGACCAAAGATTAAATAAAGACAAGGCTAATAAATATAATAAATAAATACACGGAAAAAGTCATTAATAAATGTATTAAATTATTAATAAATTAGCAATTAAAGTCATTTAAATAGATAGTGTAAATGGTAATACAAGTAGATCGTAACATTATCGTTGTTACTACTATTATTTATACAGAATCAATATAAAATATTGTCAAACATGCAAGAAAGTGCCTTTTCAGTGACAGAAGCTGTGAAAAGAATTCCAAATAGCGAAAGATTTTCGTAGAAGGCTCCGCATCGCAATTTCAACCAAAATGGAACCCTAGTCTTTCATCCCCTCATACACGAGTATAAAATGGCCGACGCAAGGTCAAGAGCGAACTTCAAAAGAAACAAGAAAACTAAATGTTGGATGCGGCACGCAAATGAGTCATCTACGTTCCCGAGAAAAGACCGAGATGACTCGCGACGCTTTCAGCGGACATGCTGCATCCGTTTTCCCGTTTGGCCGGTTTCTAACGATGCACCGTTCGAAGTAATTAGAAAATCTGCTATTCCAACGATCTTAACCGCAATAATCTTAACGTATTCGCGACGATATATAATGTTTCGAAATCTGTAAGTAGCTGTATACCGAATGGGTCTGCTATTTGGTTTTATATAAATACGTATCTATCCAACTCTGTTAATTACCACGCCACTGAAGAAATATTACTTTCGATCGAAACTAATTATTCGTTCCCATTTGTTTCTTATAACCTGTTCTTCAAAATTTTACTTTAAATATTTCTATACGGTCGTTGTGTGTGATATAATCTGTAATTGTTTGTACAAAACATTTCGTGCGTTTTGTATAGTAATACTTATTCCTTCGTAACAAAGGAAAATGGGATCAGAAATAATTATTAATGATTTGGTAACACACCGCTCATATTTCACTGTTATCTAGCTAAGTATATTACTAAATATTTTCATTCGACAGCGATTTTCTTATTATGATTGTTCTCGAGCAATTTGGAAGCTCGGATGATCTGTGACCATTGTGGCAGTCAATGTGTTAACCCTTTGCGAACGAGGATTTTTTGAAGTACGAGAAACCTTTCGCAGACAAAGTTGAATTGTACAGAGAAGTCTTAAATGACAGAGAAAACGAAACTCCACTGATCTCCTGTTATTTGAACAAATTAATTGCTTGTTCACGACTTCGTATTCTATAATAGATCCGGAAGTTTGATGTCACTAAAATGATAACATTCATCCTTAAAGGGTTAAACCTGTTGCAACCTGTTAAATCTGTTATATATGTATAGCGATATAAGTTCATCTCACTGAAAATCGCTAGTCACACAGACCAGTTTTCTGAAAATTAACCGTTAAGCGGTGTATCAGCTACAGATGTTGAAATGACATAGGATTAAGTGACCGGAATGCTTCTAAAAAAAAGCATAAAAAGGTGTAGAATTACGTTACTGGCATTCTTCGAAAAAAGTAGAAAATAATTTAGAATTATGTTACCGGTATTCAGCTGAAGAATTTCAAATGACGTAGGATTATGTTACCAGTCTTCAGAAGTTTACGTAAAGAGATTCTCCAATTATTGTAACTTACACTCATTCTAACAAGAATGCTGATTTCGCAGTTTAATCCATAGAAGTACACGCGTATCTTGACAAGCAGATAATTACTTTGAAAATAATTATCGTAAACGCTCTTTTTTAACAAGCTGAAAAATTTCGCGCGGTCTTCTTGTTAGCAATGAATTGAGGTATATCTAAATAAATTCAAAGAATATAAGAACTTAAAAAATATTAAAATTACTAAATTTAAAAAATGTCAATGTCCGATTTCAAGCAGTATTTCGCTAATAGTTTAACAATTGAAACTAGTATTAGTAGCAAGTTAGATATGTTTATGCCGTTAATATCGGATAAAATAAAATGATTTCACGAAAACGTCCTCTGTATTTAAATTTTGATTTAAGAATTGGCAAGAGCTTCTTCCAGCACCGTGATTTATTGCCAGAAGAAAACTTGTTTACGATTATTACACGATCCTCATTATTTCCGGCAAAAATATCGCGTCGCGTATTATTATTTCACGATCATTTCGCTGTACATATTCGTTCAATTTGCCTGCAAACGAATGGAACGTATATGTTAAGAATGTAACAAGACATCTGCGATAACCTAATAGGATTGGCATCGAATAAAACTGGTTTCGCGTGTCCGACAATGAGTGATGAGTTCAACGAATGGATACTACCTTAAGATAACTCGGTAGGTATTTGCAGAACAAAGCAGTAAAAACGACGCGAAAGTAATTGTTTGAATTTTATCTGATGTTGGTTGACATGCGAAAGCTCTTCGTTTGCATGTATGGACGAAAGGAGTTATTGCGGAGACAAAAGTTGGGAAATATACGATCGTTTACGGGCAACCGCGTTTAATTTAATGAAACAGATAATATTTACCAGGAAAATATAAAAGTCATTGGTTTTCGAAGTAATCT